ACTCTCCATATTGTAAGTCTGGCGCATTTCAGGCTCTCTTATTTTTCCAAAACTTGAAGTTTATTTTTCAAGTGTAGAGAGACTATCCACGATAATCTCGAAAAACTTTTCTTGCTGCAGCTATGCCTTCGTTTGGACTGTAGATATTCTGCTCATCGATTGTTTTGTAGAATAGATGATATAAACAAAAAAATATTATAAAACTGATATGGCATCCACAAGACAAAGTCATGAAATATCATTATATTATAATAAATCCTTGAGCATTAATAATTAATCAGTTCTTAATATGGGAATTGGGTAATTTATTCACGGTAGATTATATCTTTACTTTTTTTAGTATTTAAATAAATAAAAGTTTTGCAAAAAAACCCAGAACCTTTTCACAAGAAAACTTCTTATAAACTTTATTTATTAGGGTTTTATTCAAATTCCTATGTTAACAGCACAATAAAACTAAATACAAAGAAGACGATAATGTTTTTTTTTTAAACATTTGAATGAATTTTAAATTATTTTTATATGATCCCAAGAACTGTTTCTAAGGTTTGAAAATGAATAATGTGGCCCAAAACATTATAAAATTACTCCAGTAATTTACAAAAATTTTCTTATTAAAGTTCCAAATTTACAAAATTTAGATTAATGTATTTTCAAGACAACAAAAAAATTATATTTTATTGAAATTTTATGATTTGCCAGTAATAAAAAGATTTTACAATTAAAAGAAAACGTTCACCAAAACAGAAAATAAATTATGAAAAACATAATATTTTCTAAATATTTCACTGGCTATAATTTTGTTGATACAATTAATTTACACTTACATAAGAAAAAATATACCATTACAACCTATGGAAAGTCTTGGGTTCATTAATTTCTAAGTATAATTTCTTGGTCAAAGGTGCAAGGAGGTGATCGACAGATATCATACTCAACAACTAGATTTTTCTTGTTAATTAATCATTATGTAAGAGTACTCACATTATAGAGACTGCATTTATCCTGAGGTCTGTGGACTACAAGATAATTTGACAGCTGACATAACAGAATAAATAATTACTTGCAACAGCCAGGCTTAAACCCGGGCCATGAAGCATTAGAGTGTTGTGCTTCACTGAGCTATCTGCTTCCTCTTTTTCAGAAAAAAAACCTATATACATAAAAATTATATTAGGATTGTAAATTGTTAAATTTTAGAACTCAAAGCTAAAACATCCTGAATAATAATTTTAATTTTTTTTTTTTATCTAACCATGTGTAAACATATGTACATACATACACACACGCACATACATATATATTCAATTACCTTTCCAGCACTGTTTTTAAAAGGCACTTAATGTAATTTTATATGGTTTTTTCAAGGAAATGAATTTTCTTCAAAAATTTGTCCATTTATTCAGATCATTACAACGTTTCAAGCCAATTGGTTCATTATCAAACTATTAAAAGTTTATGACATATCTAACAAATTGGTATTGTACAATAATACAAAACCAAAATTATTTTTAGCATTTTATTTGAATTTAATCCAATTTATGTAAATTCAAAAAAACTGATTCTAGGTAGTACCTCGGATACTGAGATTTTTTTGAATTGACATATATTAGATTAAATGCAAATAAAATGCTAAGATCAAGTTTTGTTTTGTATTAGTGTGCTGAAAATAAACAATAATAAAGTTATAAAATATGGAAATATGTTAGATATGCCATAAATTTTTGATAGTTTGATAATCAAACAATTTGCACGAAACGTTGTAATGACCTAAATAAATGGAAAAATTGTAACGGTTTATGTATATAATATATATATATATATGCGAGTACATTTATACATGTACATATATGCATATATTCACAAAATAATCATATAAATATTTAAATCATAATTCTGATTTTTTCACTGATGGGAAAAATATGTGAATATTCAATATTGCATAAAATCAAATATTAATTAATCGATAGTTTTATACAACCAAGGCATTTTTACCTCTAACATTGTAATCCTAAATATAGTTAGTAAAATTAAACAACTAACACTATTAATATTAAATCTTAAACTAGAGCAGTGGACTAGCTAGCAGAAGCTACAAAAGAAAATGGCGGCTTACAACTGAAATTGGTTCCTAACTTCAAACGAATTACTGCCAAAATAAAGTTACATTTAGATCAATTTTTTCCCTCAAGCGTTAAAGCAATATCAGTTCTAATGAATAAACTACATTTTACATTATTTTACTATTAAAAAAGTATTATATTTCGTATTTTTTGAAGACAACAAATTTTGAATACATACCTTGGTGTAACGGATTTCGAGAAGGGATTACTTTTTTCAATACGCCAACATAAAAAAAAATTCAACTTTCGAATTAAATTTAAATAATTTTCAAAATTATCAGTATTATTATGAACTGTTATCTTTATTTATTTATTCTATAAAAACATTTTTTTCTTTATTTAATTGCTTTGCAGTTATATAAAATTTAAAATGAATTATAATTAAAAATCCTTTTATTTAAATTAAACAGTACAGTACTTAATATCGTACAAAAATGAACATACACTTTTATTATTGAAAAACGACCTGAGTTTAATAAATAAACTTTTATAAGCCGTAATATATGTTTAAAATAAATATAGAAATGTAAAAATTATATTGATTGTCTATTTTTCTTGTGTCTTGTTTATTAAACACATAACGTCAGTACATGACGTAATTATTAATTAGTATACTGATTTTTAAAAATATTTTAAATCAATACTAAATTTTACATTTTAGATCTAAATAAACCTGTACCACTACAACCCATAAAGGGTCTGGAGTTCAGTACAATTTAGGGAAAGCACTGTTTCTAGGTCAACGGTTGTGCAAGGAGGTGATTTGACCGAGATCACACTCAACCGCCAGGTTTTCCCCCTTAATTAATTATTTAATTAAAGGTACCCACTTTATAGAGGCTGGGTGTGCCCCAGGAGGGTCTCCCGACCCAGGGTCGGCCCACGGCCAATGAAACAGATGAATAAATTTTAGATCTAAATAATCATGATTCTAAAAAAGTTTTATCCGTTACGTATTGTTTGGGAATCAAAATAGAGGAGCATTACTCGTGAGTCAGAACATAACTCAGTTTGCGACTGACTGGTTATTGAATTAAAGCACTTCCATCAAAACACTAAACCTTCTGAAATATCTACATGCCAATATTTTTCTTTCAAATAAAACAGTAGTTATTTTCTGAGCTTGTAAAATATTCAGTTAATAGTTATTTAAATTAATAATTTAGTTACATTTATTGAAACATTAAAATTAAATTTTAACGATTATTTCAAATATTCGTTACATTTCCCTAAAGAGATATATTAACCATTTATTATTATATCTATCTAAATAGTAATATTTACTTAATTTCAAATTATAAAACGGTCTATAATATACTGGTGTAAGTCAGTATATTCATTTATATATATATATATATATATATATATATATATATATATATATATATATATATATATATATATATATATATATATATATATATTAATAATTGGTAATTGGTTGACTGTCGTGGATAATGAAGAGAAGAATAGTTGGGGTGGTCAGTCAAAAAGGAAGGAAAAAATAAATTATAATATTTATTTTTTATATATGCCGACGTTTCGACCTGAAATTCAGGCCTTCATCAGGGCTCTCTCCTTAAGTGTCGCATTCTCCCTGCGACACTTAATATATATTAGTAAATCAATTCTTTTTTTTAATGAAAGATCGGTCTTAGTAGTATTAAAAATTATATTACAAGACTTAAAACAGAACTAAATAAATAAGTCAAGATAAAAAAATAGAGAATACACATAAGATAATAGTAACATTAATACACTAGCGGATCCAGGATTTAATTTTGGGGAGGCTTCAGCCTGAAAGATTTTTTTTTTCATATACGTATAACGATAATTAATATGAAAAAAAATAAAGAAATTAATTACCTATATGAAATGGTGTTTAAGTGGTTCTTGAAGTCATATTAAATATAATTACACGAACAAGAATACTTTAAGAGATAGTTTTTAATATTTTTTTCTTTAAAACATGGTTATATTTTACCATTTTGGGGGAGGGTCAGCCCGAAAGCCCCCTCCCCCTACCGTAGATCCGCCTGTGCATTAATATAAATATAACTGGCATATTTCGAAAGAGCGTGGCTGAGAATATCATTCGAAAAAAGCGAAAATTAAAACAAAATATGGGACAATCAAAACGATCAAGCAGTTAAAGTACGTACGAGAAGTCGTGATTATAACGGAGGAGACACTCAGGCGTCCAGAAGTTGAGAAGTAAAATTGTAAAGAATGGAACATCTACAAAGGATGCTTATAATAAAAAGAATATTTATAAAAAAGTAAAAATCAGATATCATGAAACAGTGGTGAGACCGGTGATACTATACGGGTCGGAAACAGTGTGGATTACTAGTTTTGAGAAACTACTAAAAATTAAAAGAAAATTCCTAAAACGTAACAACGGACCTAGAAAAGTAAGAGAAGAGCAAAGGGCTTAAAAAAAAATTCAGGAACATGAAAAGATTAAAACAAAACAGGTTGAACAAACAAATATTCAACAAACTGATAGAACTAAGAAATCGGAGAATACCTCAGTCATATGAAAGAAGAAATAACAAAACGACATTATAGACAAATAATTCAAGGACATAGAAAAATTCAGGAAATACATCAAGGTCCTTGAAATCGAAAAAAAGAGGAGAGAAGAAAAAAAAGTGGGGACGAGCGAAAGAGAGAGATGAGTGGGAAATGAAGAGAATAAGGGCTAATAAGAAAGCTGGAGAAATGGTATATTTGAAATGGGACCACTTTTGGTAAGAATTGTACTTCAAATACCGTTTTTAAGGAAAAAAAAAGATTGATTTGGGTTCCGTTTGGAGAAAGAAAATGGTGTTTGATTTGGGTGGAAGGGGATGGAATGGTAATATAAAAAATTATCTTTTTGTTTACAATAATTTTTAATTTTTATTTGAATAAAAGGATTAAAAAAACTTGCAAGTATTCCTTGAAAAAAAGCCGATTTCGGAAATTGACTTATTTTCACGTCACATTTTTAAATATTTTGTATCGTTTAAAAAAATAAATAAATATTCTCAGCATCCGATTCATTGGGGGTTTTTACAAGGGAATCGATACTTATCTCGACTTCCTCCAAAAACTCGATAAGGTTTTGGAAATACAAAACTCAAAGAATTTAATGAATGAATATTTAATAAAAATTATGTTTAAAACAATAGGATTTGAAATAAACGAAGTGAATTTTTTTTTTAATAAAAAATAATTGGAACACAATAGCCAACGTTATATTATAAGATTTAATAAATAAAAATAATAAGTATGTGTAGCAATAAGTAGAATAAAAAATATTATAAATAATAGCTTGACTTTCACCGATGCTCGCTGTCCAATGTAACCGCTAGAACTGAGCGAGTGGACTGGTGTAGATTTTAGTGGGAGGGATGAAGGGGGGGGGTATCTTAACCGATTTAACGACTATTTAGCAGAAAATATTAAAATAAAGTAATAATATATCTTAATCTAGTTCAAAATTTATATATATATATATATATATATATATATATATATATATATATATATATATATATATATATATATATATATATATATATATATATATATATATATATATATATATAATTTCACAAGCGCAGCCTTCGGGGAGGGTGTGGGAGGTAATTCCTCCTGTATGAGTCGTGTATGAATGCCCTATTGAAGAACAATACTTTCTTGATACCGTCTGCAAATAGAGAAACGGAAAACGACATTCTTTGAAATATAAGAATGAATTAGGACGAATCATATCGTAATGACAAATTTTAAAAATTTTATGGCGCGGTGCATGTTTGCAGGTTCTTGAAAATGGCTCCTGAAGCCGAAGCGTTGAATAAACATACATGTAATATATAAAAAAACTGTGTTTTTTTTGTGACCTATGGCCTATAATAGACATATGTTAAATTATAAGAAAATGGGGAAAATCCAAACCCGAAGGATGGGACTAGAAAATTATATATATATATATATATATATGTATATATATATATACTAAAATAGATTAAGGAAATAATAGAAGTCATAGGCGTAGACTACGGGGTGGGCAAGGGAAGCGATCGCCTATATATATTTTTATAGATATTTTTACATAACTAGTTAGACTCTGAAAACATTTTATTTTGTTTTAATATGGTGCAAATTAAGAAATCAAAAATATTTTTCATTTGTTTAACATTATTCATTTTTTAGCTAGAAAAGTTACTGAAATGTACCTTTGTTATGTAAGCTGTCCCCCATACTTCCATATTTAATATATATAAATTGAAATAAATCCAATTGTTTTGTTCAGATATTTTCAAGTATACAGGGGTGCCCAGAAGGAGGATTCATGGTGCAATTTGCGCGATTAATTTTTTTGAGGGGAGACGGCACATTGTAACTGGGTTTTGAATTTTTGAGGGAGGCGCATTTTTACGGAGCTATACATTTTCGAAGTTAAAAGTTTCAAAGCAGAGAACTAGGAGGAAAAGGTGGGGCAGATCACAGCAAGTGTAATTGTATATCATCTAAGATTTGTTTAATCCTACTTTCGCTTGCACTGTTTTTAAGAAGAGGAGTGAAATACAATTTTTGGATGGGGGAGGGAGATAGTTCATGCGCCATCGATCTTGAGGGAGTGGTGGTTATATCTACAAGTATATCCATAAGCACATAACAAATTATACAACTTCAAAAAAAATTTATAAATTTATTTTTAAATATTGAATATAATATTTGCACATTTCACATTGAATTTTTACACCTAAGAACAACGGCCATTTTTTTATTTTTTGTCCTTTCACCCTCCTCTCCCTCTCACTCTCCTCTCCCTCTCACTCTCCTCTCCCTCTCACTCTCCTCTCCCCTCCCTCACACTCTCCTCTCCCT